AACACCTGCATGCACACACAGACACACACGCACCGACCTAGGTACACACGCAAAGGCACAAACACCTGCATGCACACACAGACACACACGCACCGACCTAGGTACACACGCAAAGGCACAAACACCTGCATGCACACACAGACACACATGCACCGATCTGGGTACACACACAAATGCCCACCCTCTGACACATCCACAAGTCGCCTGGATTAGGACACGAGTCAGAGGCAGATTTGGGGCGAAGGGGGGTAGATGGCCTGTGACAACTGGGGGAGGGTTTCGGTCGAAGGGGATCCTGGGGGAGTAATAAGCAGGGTGTGGAAGGGGAGAGCGAGGAGGAGGCAGCATTGCTCAGTCTGCTTGGACGGAGGTAGGAAGGGACACAGCACAAACCCTGCTGAAATCAGCCAGTCCACTGCCTCCTTGTGCCTCTTCTTGGGCATATTGGGCAAGGGTCAGTTTACAGTGTGCAGCAGAAATTACCATATGTAAATGGTTCATTAGCACATTCATTGTGACAGGGGGTTCATGGCCCTGCAGCCATGCGCATGCTTTGCCTACCATATCCCTAGTCTCCTCAGCTATTGCAAATGCATTCCCGGGCACCCTGGCCCCGGAGCACTGCCCAAGCAGCCTCCACAAAACTTCTGGGGCGGAGAGTGTGGAAAGCCAAATGCTGGTGTTGCTCCCCATCTAGTCAGGTGAATAACTAGGAAGGGGAGAAAGCTTTGTCTGGACTGGGATTGCTGAACCAACGAGTGCAAATCCCTAAGGCAGATCCGCTGCTGCGCTGTTGTAATGGCAAACGCAATGCCATGCTTGTGTCTGCAGCTCTCACGGCACTGTGCGGAGGGGGTCAGCATCTTTAGTGCCCTCAGACAGATTTGGGAACTGAAGCACAGAGGGGAGCTATGAGTAGATGCCGGTGACTCAGCCTGGAACGTGCAGCTACTGGGACTCAGCCCCATACGCAGCCACTCCGAAGCAGTTCTTCCTGGCTTTACACTAGGGCAGAGCACCCTACCGCAGGTCCTGTTTTATCCCAGTCTAGCGCATCTATATTCGGGGTCCGGATTGGGGTAGCGACATACATCAGTGCAAATCCTCCCAGGCAAATGGTGTCTCAGTCCAAGTCGGGGGCAGCTGTGGGGGAGAAATCGCTATGAGCCTCCAGATAGCACCAGTGACACTTTTCGAGCCCCTTCAAACACAAGCAGGTACCTCCAGGCAAGGAAGAACCTGCTCTGGAGAGGAGAAAGATGCAGGGGAGAGTATGCAAGGAAATCCCCTTCCTCCATCGCCTGCCCCTTGAAGGAGGCACTCTGACTCCGGGAAGCCTCCCTCAATGGACACAGCCGCTAAGGATAAGCTGAGGCCCAGCAAGTGGAGGTACAAAAGCTCTTGCGCCTCCCTCTCGGGGTCAAGTGGGAGACCTGAGGGAGCTTCCTACATGGCTCGGTGGCTCCCCTTCTGGGCCAATGGGGAACCCTGTGCCTTGCGGGCAGGTGGGATCTGCACAGGCCACGGACTTGCATAATGTATCCCAAGCTGCCCAGTCCAGACCCAGCTCCTGGTCCAAGAGCTCAGGCTCCAGGCCGTCTGAATGCAGCTGTAGGGGTTCTCCCAGCTGTAGGGCTTCTCCCAGTGGGGCGTCCCCATCTCCCCACAAGAGGACACCAGCAAGGTGGGATTTTCTGCCAGGCAGGACTCCTCCTCTGGCCCCGCAGCAGAGCTGAGAAGGCTGGCCACATGGAGTAGGGGACATACCCCAGATGGTACCCTGCCACTTCAATGCCCCCTAAAAACAGCTGTTCCGGCACCTCTTGCAGGGGCTGGCACCCCCAGCTCCTTGTTGTTAATGTCTGAATAAACCCCACCCTGCAGCCATGGTCTCAGATTGTTCCAAAGCCACCCTGCCCCCGTGGGAGGAGGAGATGGTGCGTTGTGAACCTCTGCCCCATTTCCTACGTTGCCAGCAGAAAGAACTGGTCTTTCTCTGCAGCTGTCAGGGCTGCCTTGTCTGGCCCAGAAGGTTCCCCAAACTGCCCTGCCCTAGTTTAGAGGCCTTAGCGTTGTTACTAGTCTCTCCCCTATAGAGAGGGGGCTACTTAGCCTGCTTTGGCACCACTCGCCCCATCCCAGGCACCCACAGGGGGCTCTTTGCTGAGCAAGGAGGTGTGGACTGGTCAGGGAGGAATGGGAAGTTTGGGGGCAGGTGCAGGATGATACTTCCAAAAACCCTGCCCTCCCCTCAACCTTTCACATCCCTAGAAGGGGGCTGGTGCCAGCTACACTGTGCTCGCCTTTTTCAGTAGTTGGGAACTTTGAAGGAAGTTTCATGAAGCCAGCAAAATGTATCCTCTGGCCCCTAGGCTATCCCCGCTGAAGGGCAGAGGCCTGCTGCCACCAGCAGAACTGTGCAACCTTTTTAAAAAAAGGGAATCTTGGATAACAAAAAGTATTTGCTTAAATATAGGGGCTGCTGCCAGCTCTCCACAGGTCTGTAAAGAGACTCACACACAGACTGTTAGAATAATTGATAGACCCTTCGCCATGTCAGGCTTAATTCATTTTCCCAATTCCCCCTGACATGACTGTGATAGTGTTGCCACCTAGTGGCTATTCTCAACATCACAACATCGAATCCTAATTAATACATAGCCATTATACAGTGCGTTGCGTACACACGTCAAAGTACTCTGGGAGGTCAGTATCATTATCCCCATTTTATGGGGCACAAAGTGCCTTGTCCAAAGTTACCCAGTAGCAGGGCCAGGAACCATTCCCAAGTCTCAGTTCAGGGATGCTACCCCTACAGAACACTGCGGCGGCAACAGGAACGTAAAACCAATAACGTAAATTCAAATATAATAAAATGATTATTTAAACCCCCTTGTGCTGGGTGGTTACAAACCCAGAACAAAGAGACAGTCCCTTGGGACTAATGCTTAGAGCCAAAATCTATGAAGAGGCCAAAGGGGAATTGCCAGAACAGAATACATCGATAGAGAGAAAACAGGCTGGGGGAAGGGAAATGTTGGACAAGAAAGCGTCTTCATTTTCTGCCAGCACGGTGCCCCCCCACATCATCACAGAGCTCTGTCTAGCTCCTCCCAGCTTATTTCTCCTGCCCACTGCAGGTCTTCCAGTGCTCCGGGGGAGGATCAATAAGATTCCCGGGGTACGTCTACACTGCAGGCTACGCCAAACTCTGAGTCTGGCTGAAGTCCAAGTCCTCCTTCCATCCACACACAAATCAGTCTGACCCAGGTCAGCAAGCCCTCAGGACCCCCCTGAGATGCTGCTAGTGGACAGGTCAGAGCTTTAATCCTGCTCTGGAGTCCAAGATGAGGGGAGCGGTTGAGCACTAAGACCCAGGGAGGCATTGCTTCCCCTTGCCGCGTACCCCCACCAATGTCTCTGCTCCTTTCCTGCCCTTGCTCTGTCCCCGCCCTGCCTTTTCCCCCCAAGCAAGGCAGCAGACTAGCAGGGGTTGGGCTGCCGCCCCCGCCCCCACCCCCATCTGCAGCAGCATGGGGAAACGGAGCAACACAACCCCAGCCCACTCCGCTCCTCCCGCCATGTCACTCCGCTTCCTCCCACCGCTGCCAGTGAGAGTGGGTGGGCCTGACCCCTCACTCTGCTAGTCCCCCGCCCCAGGCCACCCAAAGGCTCTAGCCCCTCCTGCCAATGGCGTTTGGAGGCGCACATGGCCCCTGGTGCCCCCAGCATCGCCCCAGCATTGTGCACTATGAGAGCGTTAACATCGCCGTGAGACCTGGGCCCAGGTTTACAATGCAGCGTGGACACTCAAGCGTGAGCCTGGAAACACGGAGCCTGCAGACCCGGGTAGACATACCCCCGGAGGCCACCCGCAGCCAACACTGACCCCACACCTTGTTCTAAATACTGATTTCAGAAGTCTACATAACAAAAATGACGAAAACCAGATTCGCCAGGGTTCGGAGCTGCCCAGGACTGTCTGGGACAACACCCCAGTGTCCCTAGGGCAGCACGTGGGTCTGAAGACAGCTGGAGTCGTGTGCTGAGGTGGCAGGGAACTGGGGCTGTCTGGTGTTAGCCTGGTGGGTGGGGGAGCCTGAAAGGAAGCTAAGCGGGTGTGCGGTGGGTCACAGAGGCGTTGCCTGAGAGGAGACTGGTGCTAGGACTGCACCCCTTACCTGGAGAAGGTGTGGGTGCTCCTGCCACCCCCGTCTGGCAGCTGCTCCTCCCTGCGTGAGATTCAGAGAAGTTGGCTGGGTTCTTTTTCATTAGCCCCCATGCAGACTAGAGATGCAAGTGTATAGCCCCGTGCCTGCTGCCCTCCTGTGGGCCAGGCAGTTCAGGTGATACTAAAAGAAACCAAGCAAAGACTGTAATGAGTCCAGCAGCCACGGTTGGGCTGGGACGTTGTTACCTAGCCTGGGCTGGTGTCAATGCCCTGCTTTGTAGGTCCGAGGTTCCTTGTTCACTGCTCTCATCTCCCATCCGGAAAAGCCATTAACGCCTACAGCGCAGTCAGGGGAAGTGCTGCAAGGCCAGCCCGATGGGCATGTGGGAGCCAGAGAGCTGCGGAGGAGCTAAGTTTGCTTCCCTCTCCCCCCCAACCAAGCACCCAGAGTCCCTGCCTACACGGCAGGAAAATGTGCACTGAGGAGCTGTGTGACATACTATGATGGGGAATCCAAATTATCTCGGGGACCGTGTGGGCTCCACGGAGCAGAACTGCCAGCCCCAGGACAGGAGTCAAACCCCGAAAGGCGGGGGGGGGAGGGATTCTTTTTTGGTCTTTTGATTTTTAACTCTTCCCTGGCATGGGAGACAAGGAATTTTGCCAACTCTCCCAAACATTCAGTACAGACAGCAAAGAGCTTCCAGCTTCTCCCCCAACCTGCCAACTCATCCCTCGCCATCCACATCAGTTACGAGTCTCTCTCAGCCTCACCTCTGCAGCTTTTGGGGTTCTTCACGCCAGGAAGAGGGACCGGGGTGACTGCAGCATGGTCCTTTCCCCCAGTGACCAAATAGCAAGTGTGAAAGATCAGGGGAGGTTTAGATTGGACATTAGGAAAAAATTCCTAACTGTCAGGGTGGTCAAATATTGGAATAAATTGCCAAGGGAGGTGGTGGAATCTCCCTCTCTGGAGATATTTAAGAGCAGGTTAGATAGACATCTGTCAGGGATGGTGTAGACGGAGCTTGGTCCTGCCTTGAGGGCGGGGGGCTGGACTCGATGACCTCTCGAGGTCCCTTCCAGTCCTATGATTCTATGATTCTAGGGGGCGGTGGGGTGGGTAAGAGAGAGAGCGAGCTCCAAACACTAGGGCTGTCCCTATACAATTGGGCTGCCGAAGCAGCGGTCACTTCATTTTCTCCTCATTCCCAAGGAAGTTTTTTGCACACGCCTTTCCCCCTCCCAGGAAGGGGGGGCCAGTTCCAGGGAGCACACTGTGACGTAGTGGGGGTACCTGGCTGGTTTCTATGCTGCTGGCTCTGGGGTAACCCCCACTGGCTGCCCTGGGTACCACGACCCAGCAAAACAGGATGAGTCACTATGCAAACGAGTATGGCCAGCCACCCCCCATGGAGAGGAACAAAGGAAGGTGGATGCTGCCCTGGCTGGGGGGCAGGGCTGGAAGAAGGGAGTTAGTGCCTGTCTGGAAAGCAGGGGAGAAGGAACTGGGGAGGGGGCTGGGATTCCCCCATCTCAAGGGGAGCACTGAGGCCTCTTAGCCCCCAGTTCCTGTAACCAGATTACATCTGTGCTGTGCTGTATCCTGGAGGAGCAATAAACCACCCTCAATTCCACTGGCTGGTGCAGTCTGTTTGTGCCATTTCGGGGTGCAGGAGACGGGGGACCCCCAACACGCTGTCACACACACCTGGCCTTGCACGGACAGGAGTGCAAAGCAGCCAGACCCACTGTTCAGAGGGTGCAGTACTGCCCTGGAGGGAGCAAACTGCCTGCTTCCAGGAGCAGCTTTGACTGGCTTGGGCTATAGGGAGTGTTGAGTGGTGTCTGCAAGGGATGTTATAGGAGTGTCAGGGGCTCTCTGTGGGGGTGTTGTAGGGGTGTCTGTAGGAGACTAGAGGGAGCAAACTGCCTGCTTCCAGGAGCAGCTTTGACTGGCTTGGGCTATAGGGAGTGTTGAGTGGTGTCTGCAAGGGATGTTATAGGAGTGTCAGGGGCTCTCTGTGGGGGTGTTGTAGGGGTGTCTGTAGGAGACTA